GGAGAAAGGAAGGAAGGAAGGGAGATAGATAGCTAGGCTAATTAAATATAAGCCTACTTATCTCTCTTAAATATATAAATATATATAAATATATATCTATCCTTATACCCCCCTATATAATAAAGAATAAAGAAATACTATAATAAAATAAAATTAAAGAGATTAATTTTAAAGGAGGGAGATAAAGTTTATTTACTTTAAAAAAATATTATAATAATAAAATTAAGTAATAAATTAAATTATAAGAAACTTAAATTATTTAAAATTTTAAAGAAAAAATTAAATATTAACTATAAATTATTATTACTAAATATAATATATATTTACTTAATATTTTATATTTTATTACTTAAGAAAATATTAGAAAATATATTAAATTAAGATTACTTAATTAAAATCTATAAAGAGGAATTTAAACTAAAAAGAATCTTAAAAAAGAAATTAAAAATAAATAAATATTCTATTTAATAAAATAAAGAGGTTATAATAAAAATAATAATATATAAAAACTTATTAAGTATTTAAAGAATTATTAATATTTAATTTAATAATTTTATTAAAAAGTAAAGGGTTTAAGTTAAAAAAGTCCTTTTTTAAACTTAATAAATTTAAATCTATTATAAAAGTAATACTAAAAAAATAAACCTCCTTAATAATAAAGTATTTAAAGGATTCTAAAGTATTAAGTATTTAGCTTTAAGGAATTTAATCTTTTTAGTTTAATTCTTAAAGGCTTTATTAAATCTCTTAATATACCTTACTTTTAATTTTACCCTAAATTTTATAAATTTACTAAATATAATTAAGGGCTATAAAGAGATTACTTTAGAGCTAAGTTATTTATTTATAAAGAAGAAGGATCTTCTTATTTATATTTAATTCCTTTTTTATTAACTTCCTTTATTAAGCTATTAACTTTTTAACTAAAAATAAATTAAAAATAGAAAATAAAGTTATAAAAAGGTAAAACTTATAGTTTAAAGCTATTAATATATTATTATATTAGTAATTAAAATATATATACTTATTATATTTAGAGGATTTCCTTTTAAAAGAAATAATATACTTTTTTTATATTTTAAAATAAAAAATATAAAATATATTAATAAAAAGACTAAATATTTAAATAATAATAAAAAGAAAAACTTATTTATAAATCTTTAAGTATAAAGATTTCTAAATATAATTAAATATAATAAATATTATAATATAATTATAATATATAGGAAGGAAGGAAAAAGAGACTTATTAATTAAATATATAATCTTAAGGATAAAATTAATAAAGAGGGGATATTATATTATAAATAAAGGCCTCTTAAATAAATTATATAATTATATATAAACCTATCTTAAAATTAAAATAATAAAAGTATTATACTCTTATTATAGAATTAATAAATTAGCTAAGAATAATATACTCTTAATACTTTATAAATATTATATATATATATTTATTTTTTAAATAGGAGAACTCTCTTAAATAGTTATTAATACTATTACTATTACTTTTATTAAAATTAGCTTTTTAGTACTTATATATTAATAGTAATTTATATAATACTTAAATAACTTAATTATATTACTTAAAATAATATCTTAATTAATTTAACTTTAACTTACCCTAGACTCTATTTAGTATAAGTTATTTACTATTATACCTTAAGGCTTAGTGTAAGAGGAGACTTAATAGTAGTAAATATATATTTATAAAGGTAGTCCTTAAATCCTTTATTAAGAAGTTTAAAGACTAATTCCCTTATAATAGTAGTTAATTAAGAGGAACCCTAGAATCTAAATATTATTATCTTTAAAACTATTAGTAAGTATTCTATAATATTAAGTCTTAGAGTAATATAGAGTATAAGGAAGATATAGGAATATTAGTATTATTTAATAAAAATAAGTAGAAGGTAAAGTAGATATAGCCTTAAGTTAAAAATAAAATAATTTAAAGTAATCTCTTTATCTTAAATAACCTTAACTTTAATAAATAATATAAGATCTTTATAAATAACCTCTTAGCCTACTATTATATTACTAAAGCTAGTAATAATATAAGCTTTAAAGAGATAATTTAAGTAATATAAGAGCTTAATTCCCTAATAAGTAAGTGAACTAATAATAATATAATTAATATATAAGAGGAGGAGATAATTAATAAAATTACTATTAATTCTATATAGCTTAAAGAGAGTAATTATAAAGTATTATTATAAGAAGTATAACTAGCTTTATTATTATAGATATTAATACTACTTTATAGAAGAGGGTATTCTTAAATTACCTTAAGTTTATAGTAAGATTTACTAGGATTATCTAGGAATAATATTATTCCTCTTATAAGGAAAAGGAAGGTATTATAGTTTAATCTAGGTAATAGCCTTAAGTAGTTAGCTAATATATTTAAAGCACTATAGCCTTAATTATATATAGTTACTATACTTCTAGTTTTACTTAATAAGCTATAGAAAGCTATATAAGATTACTTTAAGTTTCTTAGTAATATAAACTTATAAATAGTAATAAAAATAGTAGAATAGATAAATTTAGAGCTAAGGAATATAATTCTATAGTTAAATCTCCTATTAGAAAATTTAAAGAATTTATATATTAAAATAAAGTTTAACCCCTTATAAGGCTATAGCTTATAAAGCTATTTAAAAGTTAAAGTAAAGTAGAGTTTAAGATAGCTTTACTTTCCTATTTACTAACTAGCTTCTAATTTACTTCTTCTTCTAATATAATATATATATACTTATAAATAAATCTACTAAACTAATTATTTTAAATCTAAAAAACTTTTATAGCTTTTATCTTTAGGTTCTCTTTTATTATTTATTTTAAGATATAAATTATATTACTCCTAGGTTTAATCTATAATAAGTTTCTATAGCTACTATATAGAGTAGCTAGAGATAATAAGATTAATATATAAGGTTACTTTTAATAATATACCCTAGTTAGCTATAGTAAGTACTTATACCTCTCTTATTAGAGCTTATTAAAGTAGAATTCTATTTAATATAATAAAGTTATTTAGGCCTATTATAGTATATATAATTTTTATCTAATTAATAAAGTTATACTTAGGTATATTATACTAAATAATCTTCTACTTCTACTTATAATAGCTAAAAGTTCTCTTAACCTAATTCTATAACTAGGTGTAATAAAAGTTAAATAGCTCTTTAGTATTTTATAGTTACTTATTATAATCTTTAAAGTCTTAGAGGTAATATATACCTTTAAATAGTATTATTATTCCCTAGCTTAAACTAAAGCCTATATTTATAAGAAGGAAGTAGTTTACTAAGATAGTAAGAGATCTTAAGTTTATATATAAAAGTAATATTAAGTTATAAACTAAGCCCTTAGCCCTTACTAATATATATATAAATAGCTTATTAAAAGAAATAGCTATAAGAACGTTTTATAATATATTATTCTTTTATAATTAGAATCTCTTCTAGCTAGTAACTAGGATAAATATTAAGATATATATTCTATTAATAGCTCTAATTACTCTATTAAATTATATAAACTTTAAGTTTAATTTAACTTTATATAATAAGTATATTAAATCTAGCTACTTAATAAAGTAGCTATAAAGGTGCTTTATTAGATTAATAACCTTATAGAAGATAGAGGATATAATTACTTAGCTAATTTTAAAGTAATAGGATATATTTCTCTATAGCTTATTATATATATAGATCTAAAGAAATACTATAACCTTAAATTTAATTATCTAGTATCTTATTACTACTAGGGATATATTTCTCCCTAGCTACTTATAAAGTAAATAGAAGGTTACCTTTATTATTTAGAAGAGATAATAAAATTACTCCTCTAGTAAGGAAAGAAGATATAGCCTATACTTAGCTATCTCTACTAGGTTATTTTAATATTACTCTTTTACTTCCTTATCTTTAGGAAGTAACTTATAGGTATATTAGATAGAGATAACTTTATTACTTAGCCTCTCTTTAAGGGAATTCTATATAATTTAAGCTATTATAAAGTCCCTTTTATCTTTATTATCTTTAATTATCTACTTAAGAACCTAAGGAGGAAGGTTAATTAAAGAGGTTATTATTAGAAGGGCTACCTTAATACTATAGGTAGGATTATAATATTTATATAGTAGTTAGGTAGGAGCCTAGGTAATATAAAAAGTATAATAAGTAGCCCTTTTTTAAATACCTAAATAATATATATAAACTAGTAAAAAGATAAGAATTCCTTAGTAACTAAGCCTCTTATAGGTATTAAAGTTACCCCTACTAGTAGGATATATAAATATTAGGGGTATAATAAGAGGTTAGAAAAGTTATAAAAGGTAGAATCTATATCCTTTATTTTATATAGTATCTACCTACTAAATTAAGGAAGGTTGGTATTTTATATAAAATTATGCTATTAGGCAGTCTATTGGCGGACTTTGGCGGACTTTCTGATCACAGCCTTTGTTAATCTCGGGTGGCCAGTGGTGAAATATGGCAAAATTACTAGCCGCACAGGTAGGCAATATCAAAATTAAGACAATCAAACATGAATCTGCTTATTTTCGAGTCTGTGACCGGCATTGTCAGATTATTGGGTAATAATACGTATTTAAGAGATAACACGGTGTATTGTTACTTGATTTCATTTTATGCTGCTGAATATCTCTATTCATCGTAGAAAGTAGTCTATTTATAACCAATCTTCCATTGGATGTCTTATTTCTCTTGTCACCCACTTGCCATTTTACTTAATTTCAGCAGCCAGATGTTTAACCACCACGACTAGAGGAAGGTCTCGATAAAACCACGGCGAGCATAATCAAGGCCACATAAATGGTGAGGAGAGGAGGGAGGAGAGGAGATAATCGGATCTTCTCTCGCATTTACAGTAAGCCAAGGGGGAATGACAGGTAGGAGCTAACAGGGCACATTTTGTTTGATAATAACATAGCTTCTTCAAGAATTCAAGGTGCTAACAGCTATCTTATAGATGTTACCAAATTCTCACAACTGGAGAATCGATGTCTGGTTCCAGCCCTTCGGCACTCAGATATGCGACTCCCACTCTCTCGTAGGCTTCAAGTTCACGGTTTTCTTGAACAAGCAAAACATAATGCGCCTGTTTCCCATGATGTTGTTGATGATTTTTTCCAACAACAATACAGTGAAGTGGCTTCTCTAGTTTCCGGTTTGGGTCGTCCAGAATCAGCCAGCCCTGATGGTTCTCAGTCAAGGTACGCAAGGGCGCTTTGATCTCACTTGATCTAGCTTCGCTCCCAGATACACCTGAAGTAGTGGGCTTATCGACTTGGAAAGGTGACTTGATCCCATCGTTCTTTTCGATTTTCCCCATCGGCACGTTCATGTATCGTATCTCTCCGCTATAGGCGGTCCACGACCAGGATGGGACCTTATCGTCGGATTTCAGTTCAATTCTTTCCAGTCTAGGTGTCGATAGTTCGCGATGCCATAGTAGTCCCCGGTGAAAGTGTGACTCAAACACGCCGTAGCCGCCTGCTGAGTCCATAGCCTTCATCAATCTTGTCTCAAGACCTGAGATCGCCCTCGGTCTGTCGCTGGGATAGGTAAGCCCTAAGGTGGAGAACTTTTCATAAAGATCTTGGTAGTGCTGTAATTTTCTCCCTTCTTTGTACGCCTCGGCAGAGTGTGGGAAATTGGAGTCGCCAAGAAAAGATGCTTTACGGCTAAAAGGGGCGTTGTGGTTAGACATAGTAGCCTTTAGAGTCTATGGTGACTTACTTCTTCATCTTTGTGAATGTTTCGCATCTTATACCTTGCCCACACTCCCAGTATACTTGGGCATCAGCGAAATAAATGGTTCGGCGTGAGAGAGCGCGTTCTTGCAGGACCCAGGCCCGTTTATTAAGTTCTCCCTGTTCAACGTGGGCATCGAAATTATCGATCACCTCACAAACATGAAACAGAGAACCGTCATCTGCCGCCATCGTTACAAATTTCCGCGAGGCCCGTGGCTTGAGGAAGCCGTCGAACCTATGCTCAGCGCAGCTAGCAGCAATAGTGATATAAGCAGAGTGGAAGATCTTCTCCATCAGTTTTGACTCTTTCTCCCAGTCTGCAGTGGATTCGGCATCCCCGCCCTTCCCCGTTCTCTGCAGGATGCACAAGGAGTCTATCCACAGGTAGTTCAAATTCAGCTTTCTTGTTACCGAAATAGCGTCTTGGAACGTCTTTGGAAGTTCTGACTGGTCTAATCCTTCAGGAGATCCGATCATGCCGAGGTTATCAAACGTCGTAACGGCGGCGGTCACGTATTTCGGTTGCTTCTGCTTGGGATTTCCCCATCGATGAGAAAGGGCGACATACTTCACTGGCTTCATCTGGTCTCCCAATTCACCTAGCAGCCAGACGCGGCTGGACTTCATATCGCCAACATACAATAGCCTACTCGGGATGAAGTTATCGGCGTCAGGGATATGTTGAGCCTGGTCGCAACTTTCAATCCAGGAGGAAATTATCTTCATTTGGGTCTCACTGCCTGGATCGGCTAAAGAAGGAAACCCAAGTTGCACCTCGTTAGAGCGCAGAGTCTCGGATTCTATAGTGCGTGGTCGTCAGTGTACTATCCAATCATAGGGTTGGTATCCCTCCTCCCAACCAGCTCGGGCTAGAACCAAACCAAACTACTCACCAGATGTTGTGCATAGAGACAGAATCGGGCTCCAATGGCTGTGGCCGAAGGTCAACGAGGAACGGTTTCTAATAAATTTAATAACTTCATCGCGTCTAGCGGCTCTATCAAGCATCGCCTGACACAATAGGCCACATAGGCCACAATCTCCAGACCGATCTTCAAGGCTTGACATGGTGTCATAGAACTCAAAGTCCTGAGACCATATTTTCATCGTTCGGCAGTGATCGCAAAGTTTCGAAACGTCGTATTGTGTGTGTTTTTCTGCGCTTCGTGGCACAATCTGTTGAGCTATATTATCGTCGAATTCAAATTCCCAATGATTATCAAGCTATACGGTCGAGTTCTGGTCAATACCCTTCTTCCTTCGTGTTAGAATATCGTCTCAGGAATTTTGGAGCTCACGAACAGGCTAAGTTCAGATCAGAACATTCTTCTTGGTAGTTTTACCGTTTGTTCATCTCATTGTCGAAAACAAGGTAGCAATATCTAGGTAGTTTAGGAAACTTACAGTCTGGCGTGCAAAATTGTCAGAGCGGGAAGCTTCAAGCGAAACGCATCGAAAACACTTACAAACTATGGCAACAAGAATTAAGCAACGGAACTATTAGCAACAGTTTCATAGAAAATCATGGTAGTATTACCATCTATAGCAAAGCAACCCTATCTGTCAGCTCAAGCCTCCACAACGCCAATTCTTTTCTCACGTACATACTGCCTCATGTTAGTATACCATGACCACAGAGACCAACCATCTAAAAGGAGGAACAATGTTGAAAAATGGACCAGACATACTTTCTTCCCGTAATAGCAAGTTAATTGGAATGCCTAACTAGTCAATGTAGAATGGCCTAGACACGTACTTCACTTATCTATGAATTCTGGTCAGCAAATTCGCCCGTCCGTCATTTCCGCTGGGTAGACCTCAGATTAAACTACCCTTGGTGTAGCGTCGTACTTGGAAACCGAAGGCCTTCGGAGGCGGGGCTCGAGATTTGAAACAGTTTTTGGCCCTTGCTTCGCTGTTTGTGCCATTCCATCCCAGTTGATCCACGGCAGTGACTTTTGGTCCATTGCTGCATGGTAGATCTTTTCCAGCTCCTTTAATGTATCTTCAGCATCTGCTCGTATGGGCTTATCATCTCGTATGGGCTTATTATCCGACAAGGGGAAAGTTGGTCGAGTCACTACTATCTGAAATGACTCGTTATTGGAACTTTTCGCTCTTTGAGATTCCACTTCAGCATCGGGGGATTGACCCTGTATGTTAGAATAAGCAACCACTAGCAATCGATCTTCGATAAGGCTGATGAGACGGCTAAGAGCAGTGTGTCCCGAAGATGAACATATGGGATGACCTTTGACGGCTTGGATCCATTCTGTGACGATAGGTTTGACTTGAGGGTCAGGGTTAGTATCGAAGCAGTAGTCTTCAGCGGTGGCTTCATGGAAATTCTTAAGGCCGTCTTTTCCAAACAAGATCCAGATAAGAAACTCCAGATATAAGACTCCAAGGGACCATATATCATACAGTCTCGATCTCGCATGCTTCTTGTCTATCACAACTTCAGGAGCTGCATATCTTTGTGTGCCCCCTTGCGTTGTTGTAGGCTCAATTCGGGCTTGCGTTTCCTTTTCATGAACCTTGGCAAGGCCCGCGTCAGTGATAACAAGAGTAAAATCTGTCGGCATTTCACCTCTAGCGGGTAATCGATTGCCGAAACAAAGAATGTTCTCGGGCTTGAGGTCACCATGACGGCAATTTTCTCCTGGTTTATCTTCAGAATAGTGAAGGGTCTTGATGGCCTCGGCGAGACCTTTCAGTTGTCGCAGAAACCATTCGATGTATAGTTCCCAATCTGTGGAGCTGAAGTTAAGTGATTCTTCAGCCAAAATATCGTAATTATTCCAAAAGTTACGCAAGTCCCCCCCTACAGCCCAGGGAAACATGAAGAAATAATCGCTGCCTTGGCGGTAGCACGCGATTACTCTAATTAAATGTCGGTGTTTGCGTTGTTTGAACCTATGCAACACATCGGATTCATTCAGGGCAATCTTTTTAGATTTGCCTGCTGTTTCGCTCCATGTGAGGATTAATTTCTTCACAGCAACGTGAGGATTCCCATCGTTATCCTTAGCCCACGCCTGCGAGAATGGTCAACAGAGAGAAGTGTGAAAAAGTGAAACGGTGTCTTACAATTCGATTGTCTTCGAGTTTGATATGTCTACGATGAATGACATAATGCCTCACGACACTGAAGTTGCTCTCCACGCCAGTGTCTATTTCCTTGAGAAATGGAAAACGAAGCGAAGGGTTGAAACTATAGACAGGTCCGTCGTCTTCGATAAAAACTGGAACAAAGAACCTCCATTGATATTGATCGCAAAGATAATCTATATCGTCTTTTTTTGCTTTGGCTGGGAATGGAACCTCGTTTTCTGGGTGATTTATTGACCGGATCGCCCATTTGCAGTTTGATGTAACGTCATCACGGCTTTGATCTTCTAACGATATCCTCTCGATAGGGAATTGGTCGTCTGCGAACTTGTTTTCGTAAAACAGTTTCAGCCAATGCAATTTATCATAACGAACAAGCATAGCAAAAAGCCGCTTAGCTCTTCCCAAGACGAAACTTGTCATGTCATCAACTGAAGATGTCCCTTTTGGTTGCTTCTCGAGCACCGCTCTAATATTGGCTTCGTCTTGAACCAGGTTTTCGATATGGTCGAAAGGGATCCACACGTACTTCTTATCATCAGTCTTGTTTTTAATTTCTAGCTCGCCATCTTCGATCTTTTCCGCCAAAATTTCCGCTGCCATGCTGTTTCCAGAGGAGTTGAACCAATGAAGAGCAACCTTGGGGAAAGAATTTCGGCGCTTGGGTTTTTGGTCACTAGCCAAGCCCGGGAATGAAAATGCCCGGCGCTTCTTTGTGATGGCAGATGGTTGATTCTGCCTGGAGTAAGGCTGTGACGGCTCTGTCTGAACCCGACGGAGATGTAGTGCGTGGGCTCCAGTTGCCTCTTCTAAGGGGTCTGCGCGGAAGGTCGTAGCTTGTTGTGAATTGGATTTCGATGGGCTTTTATACGGCAAGAGGCGGAAAACCCACCTAAAAGTCTTATTCTCGCTCATAAGAGGTAGGGTATATCAGGATTCACATGAGTTCTCGCCCAGTCACGGGAAGCCGTGGTCTTATGAAGGGCTATGAGCCCGGCCCGGAAGACCCCTCCCCGCTCTTACTTGAAATCCAAATGCAACACTCTCTCCAGATTGTGTTCTAGATTTGAAATCGATCAGCAGCGCGCAGCTCCTCAGCTCACGCTGGTTCTGCTGCGTGATGTCACTGTAGCCATTTCAGCTGATTGTCCCGGCTTACATTATTGGCCGCGAGAAAACTTGGAAGTAGTTGATGGAGGGGCACCATCCGAACCCGGGCAACCTTGTCCATCGGATCAAGTACGCTCCCGTTGGCTCCAAGCATCGTCCGCACGAGGCATCTCATAAGGCGACCAAAATGTAACACCCCTCCTCGAAACGATGTCACACCGATGTACCTATAGGATATTATGCGAGCTCTTTAGGTGCATATTATGAAGTATCTGCTCGCCATCTTGAGCCAATCAAACCTCCACACCCTCACCTCGTGATACCGAAGTCATTTGTTGAACCACCCGTATTGGAGTGCATTCAGTCGATCGCTTGACTTTGCTCACTATCCACCAAACTTCGACCAGGCACCATGGAATCGATTTGGAGACCTGCTACAAGATCACGACTCCAACTTGGTGGAATAAACACCACAGAGGCTCATAATCAAGCATTGAGCCCATCACCCCCCTCACCCACCCTCACGAGACCATTTTGTCCATGGTGGCGTCCGACTAGTGATTGCTGTGTTGCATCGAGCGGCTGACAATACAGCCTTTCTGCGCTATTTTATGCATCAATCGCCTTTACCACCCACCACCGATTGAGGTGGTTCTGAAAGGGGATGCCGGTGAGATGCAAAGAGAGTGGTTGCCTTGCGTGAGCCTCCTCGTAGTGGTTACGTAGGTGTTAAGGCCGTCACCAGAAGCTGCATCAAGGTCTGCACACTTTCCAAGGATACCCTCCTCACCCCTCACCCCTCACCAGCTACTTCCATTCTCTGGACACTCACCTTTCTTGGATCCTATACAATCGTGTGGATACAGCCGTGAATATTGCCAGCTCTTTCTATCGATATTGGTCAAGCCGCCCATCCTCTGTCACTATAGGTACTAAATTAGGGTTAAAATGACCTCTCCTTCTTCCACGTTGTATTCCCAATGCCCCAAACTATATGCCTCAGACGGGGTCAACCACCGGAAATATGTTCCGGTGGATTCGATGCGCGAACTCGTCAACAAGGAAAGTATCAGCTCCGAACTGAAGCGCAAAAAGAAGATACCATGGGGAGTTTCGAAGTGTGCCGCTCAGATTGAAGAGAAATCGAGCAAACTATTTCTGACCCTTGTACTCTCCGGCAAGGCCCCGGACATCAGGAGGCTGCGAAAGGCAGGGTTTACAGACAATGACCTTCCTCTAATCAAACTGGATGACACCACTCTACAATCATCTTCTGAAGAGAAGAAGTTGTTCGAGACACCCAAGGGCTGGAAAGAGCAGACCATAGATACCTTTATCGAGAAACAATGGATGATGATAGCACCAATCTTTAACAGCAATGGCGAGCATCGCGATTTTGACACGAACATCTGCTTGCCCTTTGACAATCTAGACGAGAAAGGCCACAGCAATACCAGTATCGTCTTCAAGGCAAACATCCATAAGGCGCACCAGATTGGATTTGAGGTATGGTCACCCTCTCAGCCGCAAGCCTCATGTTCTTTCACTTCCTTACTCTAACATCAATAGAATGACTCGCCAAGTCTTTCGGTTGCCCTCAAAGAGTTTAGACTTCAAGGCAACTATTCTGGCAACCATTCTGGCAACTATTTTGAAGACGAGCGCGAGAACCTCGTCATGATTCGAGGGCTAGCTAATAATGAGCACATCACGAAAAGTTTCGGGTCTTTCTGCCAGGGCAACAGGAAGTTCATGATATTTCCTTGGGCTGATGGTGGAGACCTGGATAACTTCTGGCAGGAGAAGGATGCCGACAAGCGGTCGCCCGAATTGCTTGTCTGGTCCTTGGAACAGATGCTTGGTTTAGCCGAAGGTCTACAAGCCCTGCACCATAGGGTTGGAGAGAAGATCAACTTGCGCCATGGAGATTTAAAACCTGGAAACATCCTTCACTTCCTCACGGGGGAAGGCAGAGGTATCTTGAAGATAACCGATTTTGGCATATCGAAGATTCACAACGTCAATACGTTTGAGAGAATGGATAATCCCACTAATACTAGGGCCACCTCACCATCCTACGAGGCACCCGAGGCTGTGTCGAAAGAAAAAAAGGCAAGATCGCGCAAATATGATATCTGGTCATTGGGATGCATCTACCTGGAGTTCGCAATCTGGCTCATCCATGACTGGAAGAGCATCCAAGATTTCAACGAAGAAAGGAAACCCAAGGCTTATTATACTAGTAATTTCGCGCATTTCTACCACGACTCCAACGGCCAGGTAGAAGTTCACCCAAAGGTTAACGAAAAGATCAAATCGTTGAAGAGTAACCCCCAGTGCGGCGAGAACAGCCCTCTAAAGGACCTTCTAGATTTGATTGATGCTCACCTCCTTCGAGTAGAGGTTGATGACCGCCTCGACGCAGAAGGGTTGCGAAGGAGGCTAGCGGACATTGTCAAGAAAGCCAAACCCGAATGATTATCGCTTCAAGACACTGAGTTGATGATCCTATTATTGAAGAATGCCAAAAAGCGCAAGGGGGGATTTGTATTTTTACGAAGTGGGTTATCAAGGTACAAAAGGTGGCTTTTAATAATCTTGTTGTTTTGTCAATCTATTTAGGTTCTACTTTCACTTTTTCTACTCTATACCTTCTGTTTGCAGCTCAAATAAAAGTTGTTTCCGGGTCTGGGGCAACATTGTTCTTGGAGATCATGCTTGTTTTGATAGTTCAGATTTGCCATTCCATTTACAAAGAGAATTGATAGTACTAGTCATTCTTCAGTATGTTCTTTTATGTACTTTATGTTAATCCTCGATACTGCCCAGCTCTCGTCACTTCCTTCGCTGTTGATGGAGTCGCCACGGCAATCTTAACTTACAACAGGCAGTCTAAAAACAAGAGGGCCCTCTGAATCCCAGCGCGAGCTCTGATCCCAGGGGTCTGTGGTTACCTCGTGGCAGAGGTGGTGGAGGTCCTCCTCAATGCAATTGATTGCCGCCTCATGGTCACCAGCGTTGATATTCCCCATGATGCCCAAATAGAATCCAGCAGGCTTCAGCTCACCACAGGCTTTCTTGTTTTCAGTCAGTATTGAAAGATAACGACATGAGGCAGCTGGGTTATCTGATAGGAGACTATCGAGTGCCTGCGTTAGGAGGGAACAGTCATCCTGATTGTTCCTGTCCCGAATACCTCTGAATAGATTGACAAAAGCGTCGCCTTCTTCTTTAGTTGGTCTGCGGCCGTGAAGCTCATGCTCTGGGGGCCGATGGAGACACCATTTGAAAACGTCCCATGGGTTGTCGCCGCGTGAGTCGTGGAGCCGCACACTAATTCTGGATAAATCCAGGTGGTGGAGAAGCTGCAGCATCTCTAGATTGCTAAAGAATGCGGCGTGATGCAATAGATTCTCTGATTTTGTCGTAACATTAGTGTGCGAGGCACCTGCATTGATGAGGTGCTGAGTTACAGCCAGCCGGTTCCGAGCCACCGCGAGCATCAACGGGGGCTGTCCAAAGAAATCCGTTGCATTGATATCTGCTCTTCCTGCACCGAGCAGTAATTCGAAAATGCGCCCGAGTTGGTTTGTTCCGATACTATCACTCCCAACTGCTAAAGCTACGAAATGCAAGGGGGTGTAGCCATAAGAGTCGCGCTCCGAGGTGGACGCTCCCTCCTCTAAGAGCAGCTGCACAGTTTCGGGATTGCAGGAATTGGCGGCGACATGCAGAGCAATTCGGCCATTCCGATTCTTCTCATTCGCATGACATCTTTGTCTTCTGTCCGTTCTGCTACAAGAGTCCCCTCGAGACAGAAGCAACCGCATTATTCCGATTTCGTGATATGCGGCTGCCAGCATCAGCGGCGTGAATCCATTGGCAGCTTGTAGATTGACATCTGCACCAGCCTCGATCAACACCTGAGCGCACTTGTGATGTCTGTTAGTCACAGCCACATGCAGTGCCGGATAGCCTGTCTCATCCGGCGTATCGAGGACATCCGTCGTGTATGATTGCATCTTCAATGCCTCGACAGCCTCTTCCATGCCCCATCCCCGGCTCGCTGCCTCGTGAAGTGGTGTCGTCTCCGGCTCCGGTCCATCCTCCGCATAATTCATCACCTGTTTCAGCAGTCTGCCTTGGCTCTCGTTGCAATTTCGGTCCTTGATTACACGTCTAGCGCGACATCCAATGCTTCTGGTCAAATTGCCCCATTTAGCACATCTGGGAGCAGCCTGATCACATAAGATGGACAGAATACTACGTACCGTGAAAAGCGTTGTTTGGGCAAAACCGTTTCCCATTCAATCAAAAGCACCTCGAGCATCTCAAAGGCTTGGTAGTTAATAAGGTTCTGTCAGGTGAGCCTCAATTCCAGATGCCGACAAGTTCATAAAACGGTACTCACTTCAACAAACAAAAGCCCCGTCTCGTCCTGGTCATCTGGATACAAAATCGTCCCCGATTGTAAAGCTTTCCGAAAGTAATGCACTGGCAGATTCGCATATCTCCATTCCATTTGGGCCCATGGAATCGTCCTCACAGGGCGGAGTGCGTAGAGGGAGTACATTTGGCCAGAGGCGAGGACATCAGGATATCACTGGCCAGGAAGCCGCCATCCCACGGACAACACCTCGGACTTGTTGCAGCCACAACCCCGTTCCCATTTGCTCGTGGCTGTCGGTGGTCTGAATCTCAACTGTAGCGGTCCGATCGACAACTGACAAAGGTTAGCGTGGCATCGGCACCGGCATTCGTAAGAGCACTTCTTCTGCAAAGCCATCCATGCGGTCGTTCTTTCAATCGTCTGATCCGTGACGGCGATGGTCAAAGGTCCATCCGCCTGGGGTTCTAATTTATCACTGCCAGGATCTTGCTCACCGCCCTCAAGCTCGCGGATGCCCATCGAATTCGCATCAGCTTGCCGAATAGGGGACTTGTCTCGGGCGAAAATCACGACGCATTCCTGCGTCAGCATTTTCTGCGACATGAGCTTACAGATTTCGTCTATCTGAAGACTCATTGCTTGCATCGTCTTATTCACTTCCCCGATCTCAATGGCTGATTGAATATTCATGGAGATATGAAGGTTCGTCTTAGCTTTCTGGGCCTTCTCGAGCAGCGCAGCGATTTTCCCTTCCCTGATGATCCATTTCGTCTTGCTGGCTTCAGGTTCGCCCTGCTTCGTGAAGCGCTCCGATCTTTGTTTTATGGCTTCCAATTGCTTCGATATTTCTTCAAGTGTCGTCTTGGTGCTCTCCAGCAGCTCCTTTTTCTGCGCTAGAAATCCAGCTGTGATATTGCCTGTGCTTGAGCGTTTCTGCACCTCATCACAGATGTCTTTAATGAAATTAATCTACACTCTCATGTCAGTGCATGTTGCAAGAGATGGCCCATCTAGCAAACATACCTCATTGCACAGGTCAGAGTATTGGGACTCGATCTCTGAAATCTTCCGCACGAAGCCGACCGTCTTGGCCGTCAATTGCGCCAGCTGGACTGCAGCCGCCACGGCTCCAAGAACCTCAAGCCCAGACATCTTTCCAGGCTCGGCAGTTCGACTTTGGTATTCACTTCGCCTTTCGGGGCTTCTCAAACCGCGGGACAGCTTATAGAATTTCCAAAAGAACTTAGAGGAACGCCCAAGCAGCCCATGAATGAACGCAGGGCGGGGTCACCATTTTGCACTTTCGTCTCAGGGCTCTCAGCTGCGTCATAACTGCAGCATATTATGCATTGCCAACCAATGCTGTGCTCCAAGCCTCAGCAGCATGGTCAGCTCGTTTAGGCTCGCCAACTGCGATTGGATGACAAGGCACACACACGTTCTGCCCACGGGCACCAAAACAAAAGTACCGAGCTTGGCTCCTCGTCCCAATCTTGGAGACAACGATTGCTCCCCAGAATAATTTGATATGCCGTCGTTATATAAGCGGAAAGGGCTCTTGATGGCACAGAAGGCCCCTAGGACATAGCTGTCAGTAGTAGGGGCTGGTACCTCCAATTCCTTTTTTGCGTTCTACATGTATCAGTCATCTGGCAAAGTCGTAATTCCACCGGCCACTATAACGGGCCGTCGGACTTCTAGTATGCCTACTCCTTTACTACCTATTCCAAATAGGTAGGCGCAGGTAGGTAAAGTGACTGCGTTGGCATCCTTCTTTAGGCTAGGGCAAGGCACTTTCCTCATGGCGTGTATTCGACTTTCCTGGGCAATATCATGATTGGATGTATTTGTTTGTGCCGGCCGGCACACTTTGTCCTGGTCGGCTGTAAGCTGCGGTCGGGCACTCTAAACAGGCGGGCTGTTCCATGCTGAGCCTGCCAACAAACGTACCGTTGAAGTTATTGATTGAGATATTAGACAGGCTGTAGTATCCAAGTGGTTGTTAGTATAGGCCAATGTCACAAGAATAAAAAGCACGACGGAGAGAAAACCACGCTCTGAATAGCCAAAAACTAATTAAATAATTGCTGCTAGATCGCTGGAAAATTACCCATGCTAGGTGGGAGGGATATCAGTGGTATATCAAACAATAAACAAAACGAAAGATCGACGTTGGGCTTGTCAGCTCTCATTCGGGCTGAGGCTCCGGCGCGAGGGAATCAAAGAGAGTTTCGGCACGTTTCTCAAGGACGCCCTCCCATAAGCGACGCCATTCAAAGCACGAGACGTAAAACAATATTCCAATCTCCTGACTTGTCCACCAACTCGCTCTGTCCTGATTACCAGAACCGAGAACCAGGTACTCTTCATCGACCATTGTCATCTTGAAGTGGCTGAGCACAGGTTCGTCCCCCTCGCCCGCCCTGCTCTCCAGGGGCTGATAGTAGAGGATTTCCAGTCGGCCAACCTCTTCATCCTGGGCTTCCAGGTCTCCCTGGCGCTTGCTGAGAGCTTTGTACTCCTTGATGAAGCGATCCAGACACCTGGCAGTTGTAGTCTCGGCAGTGATGATCTGCTCAATGTTCATCATGTTCTTGCTGGTGCGAATTTGCACATCTACACCTCTCTGGAGAGCAGCAAGCAGAGCGTCCATAAAGGGCCACGCTGTCACATTAGGCGTCACTATGTTGATGCTTCGCTGGGCGTTGTTGAATAGCGTAAGCAGAGCAGCGTTGAGAGGCGTGATGGGTGGTCTAGACTGTGAGAGTATGGGAAAGACGCTGAAACGCGGGTTTCGATGATGCGACGAAGGTAGGAAGATGGTAGGGACTGGTGGCATTTCCGGGAACTTGAGGGACTGTGTAGCAGAACCCTCCACTCCGCCGATGAGCATCGACGCCCTCTTGGATGACCGGCTCGTGGCATGCAATGTGGTCTTATGGCCGTCTTCCTCCCGAGACTCGGGAAAGGCCAGTGTGCCCCAGACGCCGTCTTGGAAAGCTGCGAGCTGGATCACAACGTCTCCCTCTAATTCGACGCAGCCCTCAAACCACCTCTCCCAGCTCACGTTGCAGCTCGGGACCCAGGCTTTAGCTCCGTCCACAATAAGATACTTCGGGTGCATGACGCTAAAGGGAGTAAAGAACAGACTCTTGACGGACAGCTCGATGTTGCCGGCCCTCAAGAGTTCCTCGTTGGGGAGACCCAGGCTAGGCCACTTGCTGGGAGGGTAGACCTGGCCATCGCGAGAGGAGGTATGTAGCAGCTTCTGAAATAAGCCCGACGATGAGAAGCCAATCGTCACCTTGAGAGGGACTTCACTCTGATTCTCAGCCCTCGTAGAGGCGAGCTTGATGAGGGTCTCCCGGAAGGAGTTGAGGGTAGGCGAATCCGCCCAGTAGCAAGTCACAAAGTTGACAGAGTGCTTGGCGTTGAGGATGGCGGGCAGCAGCGCGCGGGTGAAGATGGACAAGCCAGTGCCGACATAGAGAGCCTTGGGCACGCTGGAAGTGATGAGCGACTCAGGGCGGTCCACATGGTAATTGGGAAAGTCGTGATCCTGGTCCTTCTTGTGCGACTGCAGTAGTTCGGTCCAGGGGCCCACGAAGGACGCGGGGAACTCTGATGCGATGCCCGTCATGATGAGAGCGGCGATCTATGGATGCAGGGTAAACGGCGACACAGACGGTTCCGTGATGCTATCGCAAGCTCATCACCGGCGATGGATGAGAAGGAGAGAGCGACCAAACCGCCACGAGGGAACGCGCTGACGGCACAAAATCTGCCCAGGAGCTAAGCCGGTGTAATGTGATCTATTTGATCGATGGAGCGAAACTGGCGACGAGACGCGATTGATTAATTACTTGCATAAGACAAAATTACTTGTACAGGCGCCTCCTAACTGAATCCCCACTAGCTCTCAGCCGGGGCTGTGCTCAGACTCGCTGAGGCGTGACGTGACAGGGGGCCCACAGCGGCCTGCCAGCGCTAATCACCCCTAATCTCATTGGCGCCCATATCAGTGGATGAAACAATTCCTTTTCAGGGCACCGGCGTATGAACAACAACATTGTGTTGTGATAACAGCAGAATTCGCGGGCGTTTATTGAGGCGTCATTGCTACAGCCCCCCAAGAAACCAATTCAACACCTTCATCGCCGGGTTTCATAACATAGTCACGTAGAATGGTCTCCCCGTTGGATAAAAGGCACGCTGACCATCTCTGCATACGTAGCTTTAGCAGACACGGACCCCAAGTGAAGCTCCCCTATACCTAGTAAAATTGAGGCCACAGCAGTTACTCACAGATCAACGAACAAATCAATATATGAAGACGGGTTAAGTGAGGATGAGAATGAGTTCCCCAAGCCGTTAGCCCCGGGCGCTGAATAATATTCCCGAACCGTGCACAGTCCACCGTCGCGCCTCACCGCCTACCCGACCTGCAGCAGTTCGTTGGTTCGTGGCCGGGTCTCAGCCCAGCCGCAAAAGGAAGCACAAGCTCCGCGATCTCATGCGAGCTGTTATATGGCGATTACTATCTTCTTAAAGGGAAGATACAGATAGTCTTGAACAAATATAATTAGATAGCGAGTTTCAAAGGTGTAATCCCCCCCGTGTTGAAGCTCCAAATGACAACTTAAACCAGCAGCCCTGTCTGGTGGACTGACAGCCTTAGTAACGGCAGAATTCCCGCCCAGCTCTCCCCCACCACCACCAATTGACCATCTACCAATTCGCCCATCCATCCAAAAGGGGTGAAGCTCCAGCAGCTCTGTCGACCCCCAACGCAACATTTCTCGTTATCGCCCAATATTCTATCTCGTCTGCGCCGCTCCCTCGTAGACCGAAATCATTGCCTTCTTATCCGACTATCCTAGCTCAATCGCCGCGCACCAGCTGGCCACATACCTCTCCACCTGTGCCTGTGCCCGTGGTGCGCATCACCACCCAACCAACCGCCATGATCTCCGGTGTCCTCATATTCAACCAAAAGGGCGAGAACCTCATCTTCCGTGCCTTCCGAAACGACTGCCGCCCTCGCCTCGCCGACGTCTTCCGCATCCAGGTCATCTCCAACTCCCAGGTCCGCTCACCCATCCTGACGCTTGGTAGCACCACCTTCAGCCATGTCAAGCACGAGAATATCTACCTGGTCGCCATCACCAAGAGCAATGCCAATGCCGCCCTCGTCTTCGAATTTCTCTACCGCCTGATACAGCTGGGTCGGGGATACTTTGGCAAGTTTGACGAGGAAGCTGTCAAGAACAACTTCGTCCTGGTGTACGAGCTGCTGGATGGTATGTTCCCCCAGCTGACAAACGAGCAATGAATCCTCGAAGATGATTGTCACAGCTAACAGAATCGCACCACTATGTAGAAATCATTGACTTCGGATACCCCCAGAACACCGAGACCGACACGCTAAAGATGTACATCACCACCGAGGGTGTCAGAAACGAGTCGCGCTCCGAGAACACGTCCAAGATTACCATGCAGGCCACCGGCGCCCTGTCATGGCGCAAGGCCGACGTCAAATACCGCAAGAACGAAGCTTTCGTCGATGTGATAGAAGACGTCAACCTCCTCATGTCAGCCACCGGTGCCATCCTGCGCGCAGACGTCAACGGCCAGATCATCATGCGCGCCTATCTGTCCGGCACACCCGAGTGCAAGTTCGGCCTCAACGACCGCCTCCTCCTCGACAACGACGGCCTGCACAGCCTCCCCAGCGGGAATCGCATGGGCACAAAGGCCACCAAGGCAGCCGCGGGCAGCGTGACCCTCGAGGACTGCCAGTTCCACCAGTGCGTCAAGCTTGGCAAGTTCGACAGCGACCGCATCATCAGCTTCGTGCCACCGGACGGCGAGTTCGAGCTTATGCGCTACCGTGCCACCGAGAACGTCAACCTCCCCTTCAAGGTCCACGCCATCGTCAACGAGGTCGGCAAGTCCAAGGTCGAGTATAGCATCGGCGTCAAGGCCAACTTTGGGCCCAAGCTGTTTGCCACCAATGTCGTCATCCGTATCCCTACGCCGCTCAACACCGCCAAGATCACGGAGCGGTGCACCCAGGGCAAGGCCAAGTACGAGCCCTCGGAGAACTGCATCGTCTGGAAGATTTCCCGTTTCACCGGCCAGAGCGAGTTCGT